TCTAACTGGAGTTTAGGTCAGGGTAACAGAGTTTTTTGCATCATTGGAATACACTAGAAAGAATTAGGGACTTCATGGATAGTATGAAATATGAGGATATTCTCCAGAAGGACACTGTAGTAAGGCGCCAGTGAATTAAATTTGCCTGTAGTGGGAATATGCAAAAATGGCTAGGACAAAATTCCTCTGACAAATATAAATCCATTTAGTACGATGCATTATACATTAGTGCATATTCGGTCAAAGTGGTACAGTGGGTTTCATATCCTGAGAGGAAATAACCTCACTATTCTACAAATACTGTAAGAGGCACTTAGTATTTTGGGTTAAAAACCTGTGCTTTACATTTTCATATTATTCTGATGTCAGAGGATATAAATTATAATTATTGGCATTATTATTCAGAGGTGCTGTAGCTAGTGACTTTTACATCTGAGTCTCACTTCCTTCACGTCTACCACATTGACTTGCTGGTATGTGACAAAGGAAATCTTATATCAGCCCTGTCTGGCTAGTTTAGAACAGTTTTCAGGAATAAGAAAACTGGCTCAATAAATCAGATACGTGCACGTCTTTAAAGCATTATTTTTGTGTTTCCTCTAAGATTTCATCCTCTAACAGCTTTGAAGGAAGCATATAGATTTCAGCATGGTATTATGATAAATCTTCTCGAGGAGGGGCAAGCATTAACATTTGTGTCGGTTCTTTTTCATCTTAATCCAACCTTGGTTAATAATCAGAAAATTCTACATAGTGGGTAAGAAGATGTAATTAACCCTTTGACCCCAGAATCTTAATTGGTGCCTGTTGAAAACAGTGGGGCAGTTAAAAAAAAAAAAAATTAAGAAGTAGCCTGTGGTGATTGAAACAGCATAATACATAATGGTTTTCTGAAATCAAAAGTACTATGGAACTTCAGCTTTAATCACATTTTGCATAAAACCAGTAAGTGTAGGTTTAAACAAGAAGTTGCCAGTCTTCCTTAAATTGGATTGTGCTCAAAATTGGCATTTGGGGTCACCCTGACCCTTTTTCAGCTGCCACACTAGATGGGATAGGACTGAGTTTATGACAATCAGCTTCATTTATAAAAATAAAAAAGAAATGAACCCAAGAATATTTTCCTAACAGAAGACACTCAACCTTTATATTCATGGCCTCTGCTTCAATGAAAATAGGACATTTTATGAAAAAGCAGTTACCTTTGCGGGTCCTATTTCTATATTATAGTTGATGATAACTGTGGAACATCTGAAACATGAATCCTACCTGTCTTTAAGCTACAGTGAAACTGTTCAGAAATCCTCGCTGGAAATATCACTGTGGCGCTCATTTTGAAAGAGAGATTTGAAAACTGACTAAATCCAGTATCCTTTCTGCATTTATTTTGTCCTTAGTTGTACGTATGTAATATGAATAATACTTCCAGAGACTTCTCATTAAAACAAAATTGTTTGTAAATAGGTAGTATACAATGGTATCAAATACTCTTCTTCAGTATATAACATAACCTCTGTTATGTTGCCTGCCACCTTCTCTGAAGTCTGCTGCTCTCTTGGCATGCACAAAGGACAAACGCTTTATGAAAAATTGAAAAATTTCAACACGCATTACTTAAATAATAAATATTCATAAATAATACCTATGAATAACGAATGAGACAGTCCTTCAGAACTACTGTTTGACCTGTATAAGGAAAAACAACATTGTCACAAAAGTGGTGCATCTCAGCCCTTTCATACTGGTGGGAGGAACTGCCGTGCATTGGAAGGTGGTTATTTCTCCCCCTGGTTTTATTGTCGTTTTTCTTAAGTATTAGGACTTGAGCTTTGTACTTGGGGCCTTTGTTCTAATGTCTTTGTATTTTAGGAATGGAAGTAGGTAGCGGTTACATTAGCTATTAATCTGTGGCTTTTTCAAAATACAATTAAATAAACTTTCGGATTTTGCTCTACTAAACAAAATGCTGAATTCGGTCAGTTTTTTTACCCAAACATAACTTCACGGAGGAGGGAAAGGAAATGGAGGAAGAGAGGGACTGATCATGACTTAGTAGTCCCAGTTGGCATACTGAACTAATTTTATTGCACGGGCGAGAAGCCAAAGGAGTTGTGGGTATGCTGCATTGGCCCTGCCAGTCCATCAGTGGTGCCTCCTTAGTTACCTCCCTTGTAAAACAAGGAGGCAAAAGTAAGGAATAGTCTCCCAGAAAGAGAAGAAAGGGGTAAAGAATTAAAACTGTTTAACTGAAAGGAGAGAATCAGAGTCAGTGGCATGGAAAAGTAGCAAGTGGTTAAGATGTCTAACACTTCTCACTTTAATACTCTTCCTGGTTGCTGTTGACTGTTCAAACTTTAGCCGTGAAGGGTGAAATGTCTTTGTACAGTTATGTCGACCAAAGATAGTTTTATTTGTTTACATTTTTCCAGCAAAGCTGGTTTCAGCCAATTCCAAGACAACACTGAGGGAAACTTTTATGTCTAATCAATACTAAAAGCTTTCTTCAAACTTTTGTTTCATTAAGAAACCTGAATTCCTAAATAAGATGACATGCAGAAAAGAAGCAGGAAAGCCATCAGTGACTCAGAGAATTATTTTTTGCTCTATCCAGATATGCCAGATAATTACACAGTAATGCAGTCTACTACAGAACAGATCATAAAGGTACTCCAACTATGTGTAACTCTTGAGTAAAAGAACAAGAAGACCACACTAAAAGCCCGAATATGTAAAAAGCTGAGAAGAGGAAAGTTGTTTTTATATGTGAAACATCTTTCCTCAAGATATCATTGAGCCAAGAACATAACAGGATTAAAAAGAAAAAAAAAAAGGTAAAAAGTCTTGAGCACACTAATTATAAAAAGTAATTATAAGGAATGTCAGATATCATGGTCATGCCAACTGGTAACAACCTGAGGTTAGAAAGAAACTTCTGGAATGCTTGTCGTTACCTACATAACCATTATGGATATTTCAAACACTGTTCTGAAGCATCTAGGTACACACTGTCAGACCCAGGAAAACCAACCACTGCAGATAGTTAGTCTGATTCAGTATAGCAATTTATTGTTGCTTGTGGAGAATGGCATTCGAGCAAGAACCATTCTTGCTACGTGGCCAGGAAAGCAGGGTGATGAGTCTCAGTTATATTTCTGACAGAAGATTAAACCAATTTCCTCAAGGGAACATGGGACAGAGTATCAGGAAAACTTAAACCCAGACCTTTAAAGATTTACTCTTCTGATCTATCTGTGATGGGGAAAGTGGATAGCAGCAAGAAAAATTATACGCAGAGAGGGGGAGATCAAATTTGTAAAGGTTTTGATTGTCCTTGTATGGGTCTAAGTTTGAACTTCACTATTCCAAATTTTCCACCTGTTATTGATGTTAAAATTCAAGGAACTGATGTTAATCATTTGAAAAGAAATGATGATGATTTATAAGAGGCCATAAATGGCTTGCATAATATAAATGTTTTTACATGAAGGAAATCTATGCAGATTTACATTTTTATTAATTCATAAATATAAATTAGAGTCTTTCTTTAATGCAGTGTCTTTAGTGAGGGTTTGTTTTCCAATATGTGGTTTATTCTTTTTAGAAAACACAGATTTTTTGAACTAATTCCACCAGCTACTACATCAGAGAGGGGTGAACACTTGGCAAAGACAGCTTCTGACCAGCAGCGTGTTAGAAATTAATCAAGAAGCAGAAGAATAAAAAAAAAACAAAAAAAAACAAACAACCAAACCACAGAAATAACTGTTCTGTATTTGAAAAGGAAGGAAATGATTACATGACTTTGTCATCATATATCTCCATCAGATTTGTGTGAATCTCTTATTTTTTCTTCCAAAACCAGGTTGATCTCTCAAATGCTACAGTTATATTTTTAGTTTACACATAGCTTTATGCCAAGGGGATATTTGGGATGGGTTTTTTTGGGATTGTTTCTTGTTCACCCCAACATTTGGGGTGTTTCTTATTTTATGAGTTGTTTTACATTTCTAATTTCTGGAATTTTGCTCTTTTACTTTTGCAATGGTGCATGTCTGTTTGCCAATAATCAGCCTCATAAAAAGCATAAAAGTAAAGGCACATATAGTGTATGAAAGGCAGTTTCTTCCTAGTGAAGACTTGCTCTTACTCCTAGAGGTATATTTCCGTCTTGATGTGCAGTGATTTACTCCATGTGTCAGTTTAGAATATAGTCCTTTGTTTATTAACTGCAGTCATGTTTCAAAAGGTATACATTAATCTGTGTAGTTGTATTTTGATTTTTGCAGTTGCAATGGAAACCACATCCAAAGACTTGAACCTGTCAAAATAAAATCTGATGTAGGGTTTTACACCAAAGGGATGAAATTCATAACATTTCTATAGACCTAAGCTGTAAACATATTTGACAGTAATCTGCTGATTGGCTTTGTTTGTTGTCTCACAAAAGGAAAAGAGGGGGGAGGGTGTGTGTGTGTGTGCGTGTGTGTGCGTGCGTGCGTAATCCTCAATTAATTAACAAATTATTGAGGTCCATAGTGGTTTGAGTGATGGTTGGATTTTATTTTCTCTTTTTCAGTTCTTGAAAGTGATTTTATTCTGGGATATGGGGGAGATGGGGGGGGGGAGGGGGGAATCTTCCTACATACCATTTTATTGGAAGGTTATTTGTTTTCCTTATTTATTTCTTCATGTAAAAAATTGAAGAACATTTTATTTTTCTATATTTCTTGTCATGGAAATGAGATAAATTTTATACAGTATATGACAGATGTAAGCATGACAATAAGTCCTTGAACTTTGGAATATACTCATATGCTGTTTGTTAATACGTAGAAAGAATGTAAAGGAATTGTCTTAAGGATTCAAATTAAAAACACCCTCACAGAAATCAGAACTTTTTCCTCAATTTGTTCTGCGATGCCTTTGTTTGAATCTATTTCTATCAGGAATTTAGAATTTTTTATTAATCTATTTACTTTTTTTTTTTCTTTACTCTGTAGTCCCTGGATGGATTTGTATTTGCACTAAATCAAGAAGGAAAATTTTTGTACATTTCAGAAACTGTCTCCATCTATTTAGGCCTGTCCCAAGTAAGTACATGCTTTCAATTCTAGAATATAACTGTGTATGATGTGTTCTTCCGTTTATCATTCTTAAAGAAGTAATAATTTAGTTTCTGTATTTTGTGTGGATTATTGAATTAGTTATTTAAAGTGGCATATGGTTCATCCTGAGAAGTAATTGAAAAACATATCTATCAGTCTTGGACGTTGGGATAAGACAAACTTGTGCCTGAAAACTTTTTGCCGTGAAGGATCATTATTAATTTATTGAGAACAAATGAAGTTTCTTTTCTCAGTTGTTTTGAACTTTAAACCTCTATACCTGATAGGAAAGGGACACACTAATAGTACTTCCCTTGTGTCCTATTACTGGATGTTTATGGAGTACCCTGCATTATCCAGGGAGCTGACACGATGACAGGGAGTCATTTGGAGTCAAGAAATGCTGAAAGAGACCATTAAAAAGTCTTGCAGGGAGGGTTCCACCAAGGACACATTTTGCCTCTTTCACAAATGCTCACTAATATGAAAAGACAAAATTATAAAATATAATAATTTCTGGTTGGTTTTTTTTTTTTCATTTAATTGCTGACAACTGTTTCAAAGATTAAAAGGCAGGACACAAGTGGGGGGAAAGTTGCTTGTTGATGCTTATTCCTAATCCTGCAGCATTCAGAAATGTTTAGGAAGGATAGCTTCTTTCTGCTTGTACTTAGAAATGCAACAGAAAGATTTTGCATGATGATTTTCAGAGTAGGATAATCTACTTCTATTGCAGTCACCCTGAGGAGAAAAAGAAAAACTGCGATAATATTTATTTCAGCTCCTTTAAATTGGGACCCATACTGCTATGAGGAGGCAACTATTAGCACTGGCAACTGTCAATTTTGCTGTACCCCAACAACAATGAAATGGGAAATTCTAACATTTGGTGCAGAAAAAGACCAATTTTAAATATTAGCTGGTGAGAGTACGAATAGAGGTTCATTAACTCCTCAAAGAACATGCAAGCAATTGGCTGTAATAAGTTCAGTAATTGTTATTTTGTGCTGGCTTTAGCAAACCCAATGATAGAAATGGAAACAGAGCTGTTTCTAACTCATATCAGTATTCTTGTCTCTCATTAAAGTCCCTCGTTTTGTAATAGACTTTAATCCCTGCCTTAATCTGTTTGGGAGTTAGTATCAAGAATCTCAAATTTTGAAATTGGTGCGCCACCATGTTGCTAATACAGTAAAGAATCGGAACTTTAATGTTTATTATTGTCTTATGCTCATATTAATCTGTTTTACGCATAGTATCCAACGAAGTTTAATAAGCCAGTAAAGAAGAAGGATGGATAATTAGTTTAAGCAGGTAAATGCTAATTAGGAAACTCCTGAAAGGCATCCATTATACACTAGCTTAAAACAAATTTTACAGCCCTGGTTAGTGGTGTAATCCAAATTCTGTCAAGGCAACTGCATTTTCTGTAATTGAGATGTGTATGTTTGCTTTGCATAACAGATGGCTCTGTATGCTTAGACTGATAGCTAGGAAAATAATAATTGCATTATTCTGGCCAAAAGAATATTAGCTCTTGGGTTTTGGCCATTTCAGTCAGTCCTCCTGCCAGCACAGCATATGCACATATATGGATTGGATTTTCAAGGAAATTGATGCATCTGGAATAGTGTGGCCATCTGAAATATCATCTGTTCAAGAAAAATTTGGCTTTAACCCTATGCTGTCTCTTGTTAAAAGCATTTTCTGCCACTTTCTTTTTAACTATAGGAGTTGGTAAATCTTTCCTTACTCTGAGCTTTCATCATGTTGTTAAGACTTTACACTTCATCTTGATCCCCATATACATTTCAAGGAAGGGTTCAGGTAAATAAAGCAATTGTCTTTGCATTTTAGAGTATTTGATATAACAGGACAAATGTTTCCTTGCATTCACTGCTGAAAATATTGATGGAAAAACTACCAAAACTGGGACTTTGGATTTTAATACAATAATAGATGAAATCTACTGAGATCTACTAAAATATCTGTGATTTTCACTGTTCTTCCCTTCTGTCTTTATGGAGACACTTTGTATTTCTCAGACATACTGCATTTATATTTTTAATAAATTGTTTTCATGGTATAATTATATAGTTAGGTCTTTTAATAATGACAAAAGAAATGCTGTAGCTACTTGCTACTGAATCACTATTCAAAGCGTTATTTGTTACAAAAAATATTAGCAAGAATATGCGCAAAACCATTTCTCAAACTGTACATGGAAATGCTACTGTTTGCCATGCAACAATCTTAAAATACTTGTGCATTCTGAATTTCTGGGGTGGTGCTATGTGATACATGTGGTATTGCATTTCTTGCACTTCAGGTAAACATGGGTGGGTCCCTATCCTGATACTCCCCAAGTATATATTTATATAGAACCTCTAGGTAATTTTGCACTTCAGAAAGTCTGGATGTACATGATAAACATTTTTATTTGAAATATCTTCTTCAAGTGCTGATGTTGGAGTCTTACTTTCTAGTCAAATGACTTCTTAGATACTTTGTCCTGGTTTGGTTGGGGTTTTTTTCCTTTTTAACTAGTACACGTGGGAATAATGTACGATATCTTTTGTACTTGCAAAGCAAAATCTCATGTCTCTTAGCTAAAGGAAAATAGTCCTTGTACTGAATCTCAGCAGGTGAAAACAGTTTTTCACAGAACCCAGTTTTTCTCTTTTCTGAACAGTGAGAGCCAGTGGTACAAAACAAATGGATGCTGATGTTCTAAGATAGCTGCAAGGCTAATAGTAAAGAAACCTGATAAAACAATATCTTGGGAGGTAGCCTGGCAACGATGATAATAAAGTTACTCCTGGCAAAATAACAGTATATTTGAACAGTAAACAAAAATTACAATAAATACTCTTTTGACATTACAATGAACGTACCTTGCATGTAGACACCCATAGATATATACGTTTTGAACACTGTCTTCCAGCTAATGCTAACCAAGAATTTTAAGTTAGTTTGGCAGATGTGGATTTTAGATAACGGTGTGGAATTGCAATCAGAGCAGTTTCAGAGAACACAGATGCATTTCAAAGTAGAGGGAAAGACACAAATAATGAAAATAATGAATGAGAGAAGGAAGAGAATAAAAGCAACAGAAATGGGCCAAAATCTCCTAGTTGTGTCCTTACTCTATATAAATTGTTATAGATCAATTATGCTTTGGGCAAGCTGAAATAGTCCAACATACTTTCCAGTATTCAGTAGTTTCAGGAACTTTAGTATTTGTTGGAAGACCCGGACGTGTCTAGAAATGTGCAGTACAGCCAGGATTTCTTTGCTGGGTCAGATATCCTGAGCTGTGGTGGTGTGGCTTACCCTTTTGCCAATACAAACAGCTTTTTACCTTGCACCTCTGTAGTGATGTAAAAATATTTTGTCTTCATATATACCTATTCTCTGACATTTTCAAGTCAGCAGGTAATTTTTGATACATTGCCATCTTTTGTATACGCAGTCCCTGATTTCCTTTTAGAAATGAGATGAGATTTCAAAAGTAGATGGGTAAAATGAGTCACCATATCTGGACATTGAAGAGGCACTCGACTCACTCCTTCAGGCACTTAGAAGTCAGTATCAGTGCTTACCTAAGAGATTTCAATTCTGTTGCAAGTCTCTGTGTTTGAGACTTAGGCCAAAAATATGCTGAAACAGAAATGGTAATAAATAGGGAGAAAAATCCAGAACAAATGATAAAATTGTCAGACATATGAGGTTTCAGGGTCAATAGGAAATATTATGGGCTGATAAGCTGGTGAGGATACTTTTGCTTTCAGGAAACAAGTTCTTAATCACCTCTCACCAAGGGTTGTACTCAACAAGCATTGCTTCCCCTCTGTGAGGTCTACACCTTAAAATAAAATGTTTCCTACCTTTGTTCCCACTTGTCCAGCACACAGACCAGTTTGCAAATTGGCTTGTTGAAAAGACAACTCACTAAAAAGGAGCAGTGCAGCTGCAGGCATAATAGGAGATAATAGAGAGGAGGAAGGAAAAAAAGAATGAATTGTTGAGATTTTGTCCTTTTTAAAACAAAGCAGGTATATTACCTAGGTACAGTGTTACTAGTAGCATAACCTGTCTCCTTATTTTGGATTTCTGTGCGTTTGTTCTATGAAATGGCAAATAAAATTACAGCTACAGCACACAAGTACAAGGTCAAATAAATGACAGTACTCAGTCTATTTGTGAAGCTATTCTGAAAAGGAACCATGGTGCCAAATGTGGTTTATTTGAATAATAAAGAAGAATTAGATTCCCCTGATAACTTGGCTGAGGGCCAATAAATCACTGGAGGTTAAGAATGCTTTGCAACTGCCATGTATTTCTTTTGCTTTTACGAAGCACAAACCTCAACTACTATGCTCTACCTGTTTTTCAATGCAAATCAAATTGGGGTTAGTAGATGGTTAAAGGATTGCTTTTGTGCTCTGTTTGCTTAAAAAATAATATAAACCAATCTTGACACTTGCATTCATTCTGTAAATTCTGCCTTATTTTCACCCCGTACAGTTAGCTAAATAATAATGAAAAAAAAAAAATTAAAAATTCAAGCAAAAAATAACAACAAAAGCCAAGAACTTCACAGGAAAACTACAATTTTTTAAAGCAAATCTCAACAATAACCCATTGAAAAAAAAAGAGCTTTCTTTGTTTTGTTGTTGTCGGCATTGTTTCAATATTCTGAATTTAAATACCAGTATGTAGAATGATCATTTCTGCTCATTTAATAAATTGGTGCAGTAGCACTAATAATTTTTTAATAGTTTGTCCCCTTTAAAAATTAGCAAATAAAAGCCTGGGAAATCCTGTGTGGGTCATGTGTTTTTCAAATAAGTTTTGTCCTTAATTTTCAGCATAAGAGTAAATGAACTTTCTTATCCTTTATGCTAAAAGAAGTGAGCAAGGGAGGAGCTCTGTTGCAATAGAGCAGCTCTGAGGATTTTGAGAGCAGTAAGAAAATATAAGTA